AGCACCGTCTGTGGGATCGGCTGTACTGGGCAGCATTAGGGAGCACCATCTGCGGGATTGGCTGTAGTGGGCAGCATTAGGGAGCACCATCTGTGGGATTGGCTGAAGTCAGGAGAGGGGGGCAGGTAGTGCTGAAGCTGTTGCAGCGGTGGAGTCTTTTTCTTTCTGCATTGTTTTAGGCTGCAGGTTCTAGACACCTGTGTGTGGGAAGAGACTTTGGCTCAGGACAGACTCTAAGAGACACATTCCAAATGGCCTTTGACAAGGCTGAATGGTGGGAGGTCCTTGACCCAGAACGTGGGTTGGTCTACTCTGTGACCCTCAATTAGAAGAGGGAAACAATCAGATACCACCATAGGAAGACTCTATGTCCCTAGTCTGTATGTTTTGTTAAAAAGAGTAATTGTGGCCTCAAGACCATAAATTCAGACTGCAGCCCTGGAAACAGTCCCTGCAGTCTAACCGTCTGCTCACTAGAACAGTCCCTGCACCAGCAGTGTTGTGGGAAGCAGCATAAACGCCTGCCTGTTGGTGGCCTGGACCTTGAGAGCCTCTGTCTCAAGTGGGATTATTAATGTAACAGGGGCCAGGGAGGGGATTGTGTGGCTTCAGACAGCCCCGTCTACAGTCTTGTCTGCAAGCCTTCTCCCAGGCCAGGGAGCCTTCCTGCAGCTGCGGCAGTGCCATGTCTACATTCCTGTGCCCACACTTCATCAGAGCTCGCGAGAGTGACACTTGAGCAAGAGGGAGACCAAGGCAAGCTCAGGGTGAGAAGCAGGATTCAGCAATGACAACCACATGTCAGAGTCAAGGAAACTATGACCTCTGTCCAGATGTAAAAAATCAGAGAAGCCCTGATTCTCGGGGTCCAGCCCCAACTGAGGCCTGTCAGGCAAACTGAGCATGCCCCAAATCATAACATTTGGTAAGAATAAAGCTCTGGAACCCACAGGAACTTTCTGTCTGCTCATTCTTTTGTACAGCTTCCTTAGTACTTAAGATAAATGGTAAGGGTCCTGGGCTCCGCCCTGTGGTCACCTCTGGATGGGGTCATCAAGGAGACTGTTGGGTAATGCTCAACAGTGTAGACAGACAAGGACACAGAGTGAGGCAGAGTACAGAAAAGTAGCAGCTGGAATGACAAGATGGAGGCCTCTGAGGAGCATGCCTCTCTACACAGTGTAGCTGCCTGCTCTTGACCATTTTTTGCAAGACTACCTGTGTTTACCATCTAACTGGTGCAGAAGCTGCCTGGGTGCCAACTGCATGGTTCAGGGTGTAGGTACCGCAGGGACAGATGGCACTGCACCTTCACTTTCCACCACAACCCAATGGGATTGAAAGGCCTGCATGTGACTTCCTTCACAGAGACTCACTGTGCAGTGACCTGTCATCCATTCCAAGTCACTCATGGACCTCTGGTCAGTGTTAAGTTCTCTTAACCACCTCTCCTGCTAGGATGCATGCGTGGGACATAGAAGCAGGCCTCGCCTGAGTGGGCGGCATACAGTATGTAGCCAAGTTTGGATGTTATGGAAAAAGTTTCTTTAGGGCAGCCTGCAGGTTTTAAATTGGGGCCCTCAGTGTTGTGTTTTTTTGTTCTGTTTTGTTTTGTTTCAGGGATTCTGCCTGCCCAGCATGACTCTTCTGCAAGTGGATGGAGACTCCATGTCCCATAGACCAATAAACCACACTGCTGTTCCTGAATTAAAAAAACAAAAACAAAACAAAAACAAAAAAAAAACCTAGGGGGCCAACAAGATGGCTCTGTGGGTAAAGGTGCTTGCCAGTGAGCCTGATGACCAGTATGGTGGAAGGAAAGAAAAGACTCCTGCAAATTGTGCTCTGGCTTCCACACATGTGCTGTGGGACACCACACACACACACACACACACACACACACACACACACACACACCATATAAACTAATGTAATGGGCCAGGGAGATGATTAGAGATAAAGATTCTTGCCTCCAAACCTGATGACCTGAGTTCAATCCTGGAACCCTTATGATGAAAAGAGAACACCGACTCCCACAGTTTGTCTTCCGGCCTGCATAAGCATGCGCACACACAGTCCTGAAAATGTAATAACAGTTTTAAAAAGAAATGCATCTTTTCCCTTCCAGCTAGAACTTCTGTCTCTCCCATTGGCATTTCCAGGCTGCTTTCCTCTCTGCCTTGATGCTGTGTGTGTGTGTGTGTGTGTGTGTGTGTGTGTGTGTACCATCCAAAATTTCTGTTCACAGTAAGATGTCGGTTTCAAAGTAAGGACTTTCCCCCACTTGGTTGATGATTTAATTCACGAATTAAGGTTCAAATAAAAAGTCCCTTCACCAAAGCAACACAACTCCCAGGAAATGAAATGAAACACAACTCCCAGGGACTGGAAACCCCACCCTAGGCCTTGTTCTGTGGCAGTCAGAAGATAATTTCCAGGCCTTGAACTTGGCCACCCACCGACAAATGGGAGAAGGGGATTGAACTTCCTATGGTTCTTTCCAGCTCTGAGACTGAGTGACTCGTTTTGGGAAAGCCTGGAATTCATATGGATCCTTGGCCTGCCAGAGGGGCCGAGAATAAGATGAAAGGAAGTTTCAGGTCTAAACCAGGTCTGTCTGCCCCACCCCCACCCCCAGGACCTGGGCCCTGAGGTTGCTCCTTTCCCCATTCCCTTCCCGCACTGTTACTGCACCCTCCCAGGCTCCCCATGAGACCGATTCTGCCCACA